TGATTCACACGAGAATTGTCAAACTGAATAGATGTCATTACTGTTATATACCCAGTCAAATTGAACTCTTTTAAAACATCCAAAATACCCTCACTACTATCATTAAAATAAATAACAGCAGAGTAAGTTCCCATTTCAACTATTTCTCTACTGACAAAAGTGTTTTTTGGAACTCTAGACCATATGAGGGCATTCAAGGACTCATTAGGATTTTGTGTCTTACCATGAAGGCATTTAGATAGCAGTTGATTGCCTTGTAAGCTTTTAAAAATTGGTATTAGCAGGTTTTTCATCCAGACTGGAATTGAATTTGATGGTCAGGGTTACTGCTTTGTTTTACTCCAATACCTGCACCACGCTAGAACAAGAGGGTTGAATAAAATTTGAGGTCTTACAAGATACTTTATTTGGTACTATATAACACAGATACTATATAACACAGTTCCATTTTCTATGTTTATAATATACTTATAAGTTCCATTTTCTATGTTTATAATATACTTTATTTCTATGTTTATAATATACAGTTTTCTATGTTTATAATATACAGTTCCATTTTCTATGTTTATAATATACTTATATTTTCTATGTTTATAATATACTTATAAGATACTATATAACACAGTTCCATTTTCTATGTTTTTTTCTAGAAAGGTTTTTTTTTGTTGCAAACTTTATATTTTTGATGTAGGTTTCTTTTCCTCCTGAACTCATTTTTATATACACTAAGTATAAAGCTAAAGTTATTAAATCATATTAACAAATATATCTCAGACAAAGTAAATATCAAAGTAAATTGATATTACAATGTAAAAGTTACAACAACAACTATTTAAATTGTCACAAAACAAATGTACCTTTAAAGTATAGTTCAAAACTTTACGAATATAAAAAAGAAGCCTAGCATAGCCTAAGCATATTCCATAAAAAAGAAGCCTAGCATAGCCAAGCTTGAGCATACATTTTAAGGGTTTTTTATTCTGTTGCTAAGGCGTTGCTATGGTCAAAATTTTCAATAACTTTAGAAAAATGCATTTTTAAAGTGTTTTATGTAATTAAACAATATAAGATGGTTATATCAAATGAAAAAAAGATAAAATTTAGAAAAAAACGAGTCCAAAAACTTAATTTTGAAAATTTACTCCAAAACCACTGTTTTTTTAGTGGTGTACCACCTTAATCTTTTTATTATTGTAACTTCGCTGTTATTGTAAACATAGTAAAACTTATTTTATTTTGAAAATTTATCATAGTACTAGTTGTATTAAAAGAAATGATAGATTGTAACTTTGTATATGATAGATTGTAACTTTGTAAATGATAGACAATTTCAGGTTTTTTTTTTTTTTTGAAACAAATTGAAGCTATTCCCTAAAATTTTCAAGAAAATCCAAGAGACCAACCATTTCTGGTTATGGCATTTGGACAAAATAACATCAAGTTTTTTTTTGGCGCAGCACTTAACATATTTAACGCAAGTAGAACAAAACACTTCTAAAATGTCTGAAAATACAATAAAAAATCTGAAAGTTTTAAAACTTACATTTAGTTTTACAGTTTGTTTTTTTATTTTAAAGTTAATTTCTAATAAATACTAGAACATCTATTTTTTTATTTTTATCTCATATCGAATGTCGCATTTCATAATGCATTAAAACATCTTTAATGTAAGTGTGATGAATTTATTATTTTTCTACCCAGCCAGCATTGTGATGCGGGTGCCGTGTGGGAACCGTACGGGATTTGGCCGGGGGATCTATATGGGTACCATACGGGCCAAATAAATAAATAAAAATTTATCTGCTACTTTTTCTGTTTTTCCTATTGACCCTAAAATTTTCCCGGATATATTTTTTTATTTTTTACTTTGTATAACTATAAGCAATTTTTTTTAATTTTAAACAAATTAAATGATTAATTTAATTATGATAATTTTAATAACAGTTTATAAAGCTAAATGTTTTATATGCATATTGAAACCACAGGGACATATACATGTATGTTTTATTTTAAATAAAATAAACTGTTATTACATATGTACTCAATATATATACAAGTGTTCGTTGCTGTATTCTCTACGTTACATTTTTGCTGCTTTATTATATACATTCTACATGTTCTTTTCTGTGTTTCATGCTGCATTTTAAATTCGCTCCTTTCGGCCATCTTTGCCTTTATCTCAACCCATACCAAACAAAGCAGAAAGTGCTTCTTCAAGAAGTTTTTTTAATAAATTTTGTTTTTTTTTAAGTTTTTTTATGCAGCACCTAAACATACGTTAGTTGAAATAAATTGCAAAAGAAATGTTACAAGAGTAAATTTCTTTTGCAATATATTTTATCCAAAAGTATGGCATTAGGTAGACACAACGTATTACTATAAAATATTATGAATTGATTTAGTAAGTATATCTTCTTGATTTAGTAGATTATTTCATATTGATTAAATATGTAATAACAAATTATTCAAATTATCTGTAAATATGAGTGCAAGGTTTACTGCCATGCAGACCGTTTTCTACTATAGTTTATTGATTTAGTAGATTATTTCATATTGATTACATATGTAATAACAAATTATTCTGTTTAATAAAACATACGTGTATATGTCCTTGTGTTTTCCATTTGCATATAAAGCATTTAGTTTTTTAAACTTTTACAAAAATTATCATAACTAAATTAATCATTTAGTTTGTTTAAAATGAAAAAAATTATTTTAAACAAATTGTCGTTAATTTAATGTAGGGGAAGTGGGGCATAACCGCCCCCGTAACGTTTGGAATAATGTTATGTGAAAATAAAAACGAAATGTGTTTTTTTAGCAGTTTATTTCAATAACCACATCATTAAGCTTTAAATTGATGCATTTAAGAAAAAAATTAAACAGGTTTTAAAAATGTTATTACACAAAAATTACACTTAGTGAAAAAAACGGTTTTGCCCCCATTGTGAGGCACAACCGCACCCTCAAAAAAATCGATGGGGTTACACCTTTCATGGTACATTTTTTTTACAACTTTCACAGCTCAGATTATTTGATAATTTTGTTGCATGTTTGCATATTGTGGAGGCATTCTTTGTGTTTACATTTTGAGTTCTGCCCCAGAAGAGAGTTCTACCCTAGAAGAGAGTTTTTAGAAAGAATTCAGTTTCAGAGATTAATTATTAGATTATGATATTATCAAAAATGACTTTCACTTCATGAAATAATGCTGATAACACATATTTTTAACACTAAAATTAAATACTGCTTAATTCTCAAAAAGAAGGTCAGTAAAAATATGATGTAAATATAACATTTTTATCAAAATAAAAATTATTATTCACAACTTCTCAGAAACTTAACAGTCACTCTTTTTGACATATGCAAAATGAAGGAAACTGTTTTACTAACGCGTGGTATGTTTTTTGCCATATTAGATAACATTTTTTGAAGAGAAATGTTAAAAAACGGTTGTGCCTCCATATGCGGTTATGCCCCCACTTCCCCTATAAAAAATCTAAGTATACATAGTAAAAAATAAAAAAATTTATCCGCAAAAATTCAGGGGTCAATAGGAAAAAAAAGAAAAAGCAGCCGATAATTTTTTTTTTATATTTGGCCCGTATGGTACTATATAGATCCCGCGGCCAAATCCCGAACGGTTCTCATCCCGTATGGATCCCACACAGCACCCGCACCATAATACTGGCTGGGTAACTAACACAAATTTTTTTTTTCCATTTTTATGTATTAAAGTTATAATTTTTTAAAATAAAAATTTTGACAACATTTGTTTTATTTTATTTGAATTTCATGGTATATTTTGCAATACAATGCATAATTTGCAATATAATGCAATATATGCGAAGATAATGTTGGCTTAACATAGGAACAGCCACTTTAACAAAAATGTTGGTCAATAACGCAACTTTAATTAGTCAAAAGACTAATTAAAGTTGCGTTATTGACCAACATTTTTGCGTACTATTTGAGCGCAGAGTTGGCAGTACCGGATTTGAACTTATATTGTCTAAGTTTTAACATTTCGTTTGACGTTCTAACTAACTGAGTTATCCAGCAATACAAAGAAGCAGCAATACAAAGAAGATATGCTACAAATAGTACTAACAAAGCTATGCAAATAAAGCCTTAGATTTTTATAACAAAATTTCCCCTTCCTTTTAATATTATTTAATTTAGTTAACATAATTCAAGTATTTTTTGTTTATGGGATACTTTAATGATTTCATAAATAAAAATTTTTAACTCACTTTACACATAATCTTTGGCTTACTGCGCTTACTGTGTTTTTAATTGTTAACTTTGCAGGGTTTTAGAGGCAACTGTGCATAGTTTTGGCATTACCTGTGCATGGTTTTGTTGATGAACATAGAAAACAGTGCTTTGTGCTATTTGTGTAAAGTTATGATTTTAATGAAACCAGATTGATTTTTTTGTCTAAAATCAAGGGCCAACACCAGTATTTTTTAATTTTAAAATATTAGATTTTATATCTGATATATAAACATGAGACATAAAATCTAAATTTTTGCACATTTTTACTTTATTTAAATAAATATTGCCGTGAGCGGAGCAATGGAACTACAAAAACCGAAAAATGTTTGTTGTTCAACACTAAACTTGAGGACAATGAAAAATAAAACTTTTTTTTTTACTATTATAAAAAAAGCATTATTTATAGTTTTCATTTATTGTTCATGGACATTAAATTTATTTAATATTTACACTTATATTACAAAAATATAAAATAATACGAGTTACATGTTGAGTTGCGTTTATTATAGAAGTTACATTTGATTTTTACAAAAATGTTCTCAAAATGAGGAGTTCTACGCTTCTTTTTTTTAAGCGAATGCATTTTAACCCTTTTTAGCGTTAAACATAAAAAACAACCAAAGAAAGTATATAACTTTTTGTTTAAATAATTTTTATTTATTGTTTAGTGTAAATAACTTTATCAAAAACAAAGCACTAACAAATTATTACCCATTTTTTAGAAGAAATATTTTGACGATCTACTGGTTTATTTATGAAAACAAAGATGTTAAAATGGGATACAAGACTCACAGATTTTACGAAAAACTGCGGATTTATTCTAATCATGTTTTCAATACTATTCAAAAATCATGTTTAAAATATCATTTATTGTTTGAATAGCTATTATTGATCGTTTAAAATGGTAAGATGAAGGTTAACTTTTTAATGTTTGCAGTTTATATTTTATATTTATTTTATATTATATATATATATATATATATATATATATATATATATATATATATATATATATATATATATATATATATATATATATATATATGTATATATATATATATATATATATATATATATATATATATATATACATATATATACATACATATATATATATATATATATATATATATATATATATATATATATATATATATATATATATATATATATATATATATATATATGTATATATATATATATATATATATATATATATATATATATATACATATATATATATATATATATATATATATATATATATATATATATATATATATATATATATATATATATATATATATATATATGTCAGTTTGATGAGCTACTACTCAAAACCAAAGAAACAAATAGTTATTTCAATTTCTTTTGAAAAAGTCCATTCTCGAAGCAAAATTTATAATTGCATTTTATAACTTAACAATGTAATTGTTTAATAATTACGACACGTCTAGTCACTAACTATTACAGTTACAAGAGCATAGCATATGTTTTGCATTGTCTATATTTATGATTAATATACATCAGTGTCTATTACTTAAAATAAATCTAGAATGCAATTTGTTTTTGTTTTTCTGCAGACTGAATACAGTTCCTGCATTATTTTTATTGCACGTTCAGCACTGGTTGCTTCTTGGTATCTTAATTGCAGATGTTTCCTGTTTCCAGTTTTCTCTAATACCTGTAAACTCCTTCTTGAAAGATTTCAATATTTGTGAGAAGTTAAAATAATCTACCATGTTGTAAAATTGATCAGCAAACCAATACTTTTCCTACGAAAGTCATACGAAATAAAATTTGCAGATTTTCTGTAATGTTGGCCTAGTTTTAGGTATGAGAACAAAAGCATGACGGCTCTTGATTTCCAATGTGCATTATTAATATTAGGAATTTTTTGAAAGTTAACAAGTGGAAAGTTTCTTTTTTCTTTATAGAAATTGAACACAAGTATCAGATGATGCAAGAACTTCATCTTATTTCTCTAACCTGACTTAATGACAATCACTTCTGTTTCATTCACAAATTTTGCTTGCAATTCCTCATAACTGCTCATCAATTGATGTACAAAAGGAAACTCAACGTTTGGAGGCTTAGTGCTTCTTACAATTTCCTTATCCATTACCACATGCAGATCTCTATCAAGCATGTGATTTTGGCAAAAAATAATTAAAGTCTTGTCAAACCTCTTTGCAGAAAATAGTCGCTGTAGTCTTACAACAACACCATTCTTTTTACCAGTGTTAACACTGCTTGTGTCAGCTACTATCATCTTCACAGCAGTCCTTAAATTATATTCCTAAAAACTGTCAAAATTCCATCAAAAATAGTTTTTGCCTTTCCATAATTCAAGCATAGTACAGCTTATTTTTAGCTTTTTTTTATTCGTTTTTTAATACTACAACCAGATAATCGTTTCATTGAGGCGCTTTATTTCAAAACGTAGAAACCTGTTCAGTATTTAAGTTTTTCATCGTGTATTTCTTTGGTTAATAAGCGTCCTTAAGTGTTGACTTATAAAACTCCGGTTTGACTGGGTGTTGGAATGTTAAAATTATCAAGTACCAATTGCTTGCAAACTTTGGCAGCTTTTCTTTTTGATACAATTATTGATGTCACTAAGTTCACGGTAAATTTACACTTATTATGTTTACTATTTGATAGACAAGTTTGTTCATCATTATTATCATGGTTGTTTTAATATTCACTTTCTATAACTTCAGACTTTTCTTACACGATTCCTTACCGCTATCATTAGATGAGAGATTGTATGATACTGATGCAGATGGTTTTTTCTGGTAATTTTTTTCTCTTCGAAAAATGAATTGTTTTCTAGCCTGCTTCTTTACAGGTGGCATAACCAAATTTTTCTCGGTTTTTTACTTATAGATAATAGAGTTGTTTACCTTCAGCTGATAACTGTATTCCATTAGCTTTTAAAATATCAAACAGTTTGTCTAATGTGTTATATTTTCATTGTTTAATACATTCATCGTAATTTTTTTGACATACATGAGAGTTTTTCTCGTATTACTTGATTGAATAAATAAGGAAAATTTAATTTATTTTTCCATATTTATTGTACTATTCTCAACTAGACTATTCATCGATATATTTAATGTTTTATAGTATTATCTCTCAGCGTTCAAAAACATGTTTTAACTATTAAAGAAAAAAAGTTCGAACTATTTCGAACTTTATTTTAGTTATGTTCAAACACTCAAAAGTAATACAAAGTATGCTAAAAGTATTTTTTTGTTTATTATCATTATTTATCATTAATTATCATTAATTATCATTAATTATCATTAATTATCATTAATTATCATTAATTAGGACAAAAATAAACAATATCAATAAGTACACCTCATAACTTAATAAAAGTTAGTGCATCTAAAGTTTCATCATTTAAAGAACTTCTCATTTTAGTAGCAAAAGGTCCAAGACTAAAAAATGCTTTCTCAGCTTTTACAGATGTTGGAGTAATTATGTGAAGAGCTTTGAAAAGTGAATCATTACTTTGGGCCTAGCTTTGCTTGCTTCAAAAACAGCCGTTTCCTGATGGTCAAGATTCATTTCAGTGTCTGATTGTTAAATTAAAAGTTTGATTTGTTGAGCTAAATTCAATTCATTTTTAATACTTTTTACGTTATCAGTTATACTAACAGTATTTATTTCTTTGTCATCATAGGATTTTTCTTTTCAAAACTTTTCAATTATATTTGGTTGAAGTTCATCATCATTGTACTATTGATCAGGTGTACTATTGTACTATTGATACAGGTGTACTATTGTACTATTGATACATTGTACTATTGATACAGGATATAGTACTATTGATACATTGTACTATTGATACAGGTGATCTACAAAATTTTTAACCAATATTCTTATATTTACCGCAGTTTCTTGATTTTCATGTAAAATCTTCACTAAGTGCATAAACAGTTTGAATAACATTACCAATTTCAGTTCCATTTTCATCATCACTGAAACCTTGATCATAATCTACAGCTTCCATATCACCATCAACAGGTCTATTATCAGTGGCAGATTTAGACTTTTTGAGGCCAAGGCCGGCGCAATTGGGGAGGTGTGGGGGGGGGGGGGTGATGTTATTAAATCAATGATTTTTTTGTTCATTTAGTTGGCAAATTTGACCCTTTTTGAATAGTTAGCCGGCAAATGTAGACCCTTTTGATTTTTCGGCAAATGTAGACCCTTTTTTTTTTTTAAGTTGACAAAAGTTGTAATGGCACCCCCCCCCCCCCCACGTAACACCTACCCGCGCCGGCCCTGTTTGGGGCCCGAGGCTATTTTAAACTAGGAGGCCTCTTTTCATGGGCAAAAACGAATAAAATAAAGACTTTCTTGAAAAAGCTATCGCTGATATTTATTTATGTATGGATTGTATATTTATTTTATTGAACTAAGTTAAGTGATATCTTTCTGCTTTTCTTTTCTGCATACTCAGCTATCACATCGCTGAAATCCATAGTTTCTAAAAATTTAATTCAATAGTTAATCTTGCTATATTACTTAAACGACTATGGAGCATTGTTGATTGGTGAATGTTCTTTACTCTTTTAAGAGCAGAGATAGATCTTTCAGCCACGCAATTTGTTATCGGAATAGTTAGAAACAAACAATATGTTATATAAACATTCGGAAATACATCAATAATATTGGTTTCAACAATCCAATTTAAAACATGCTGAGAAATCAATGTGTTTTCAGTTTCAGATTTATAATTTTTATGAGAAAAAAACCTGGAGGTTACAACTTTAATAATGATAAAATAGGACCGTACCTTGAAAATTTTAGGAGGGGGAGGGGTGGTTTTTGAAAAAAAAGGCAGTTTTAAAACACCAAAAAAATATCTTAATAAATTTACTTGATATTTTTTCTATTTTTCTACTCCATAAGCGTTTAAGCTCCTTATTAGAAAATGGATATCGATACAAAGATTAATAATACTTTGATAAATGGTTTAAATTTTTTTTCAAAAACTAAACTTTTTTCATAAAATTTTCTAGGATGTAAAGTAAAAAATAGTTTTGAGACTTTTTTATTTCATTGTAGTGGATATTCATGATGGCTAATGAACCAAGTCTATCTGCAGTCATACTGGCTCTCAACCATGTTCTTAATCTTCGGATTGCTGAAAAGCTGCGTTCACATTCTTCGGACGTTACGGGTAGTGTACATCCAATCTTTAGAAGCTTAAAGAGATTAAGATATTGATTTTCATCGCAGATTTTAATGGCTTTTTTCCGTAGATGTTTCAAATCGTCGATTGTTTCTTGAATGTTACTGGATGCATACACAATATAAATTGTGCGCCCTTGTAACCTCTCTGTTATATAAGACAATGGCTGAAGTAAGCGGTACAAAGTTTTAATACCAATTATGAATTCGAACTTAGTGAGTGCATTAAGGAGTAAGTTGGCCTCTCTTTTTCCGTGGGTCCCAATCTATACTAAACTCTATATTGAACTGTTCTATATAAGAGTGTATTCCTAAAATAATCTCTAATACCTCTGCCATAAATGGTATAGCTAAATGAAAGTGTTCATATGCGGTATCTCTTTTTGACCATCTTGTTTTGCACATCCCTATCAAAATCTTTTTTCTTTCAGTTGATTTACAATGGATCTCTGTAACATGCTCCAGCAAGCGCTATCTTTTCCGAGAGGTATTGAAATAAATGGATATATTTCTGTATATCTCCAAAATGTTTTCAATGATTGGTATTTTTGATGTTGCAGCAATTGATAAATTCAAATGATGTGAACTGCAATATGTTACAATTGCTTTTGGTGATCCTTTTAAAATATAGACATTATAATTTAAAATATAGACATAAAAATATAAACATTTTGTATATATTATGTGGTGATAATT